GGGGTGAAGTGATTTTCCTAGGGTGTCACAGGTTTAAATGGTAGAGCCAGACCCAATACTAGGCAAGCTTGACTCCAGAATCCAAGTTCTTCCCACCAAGCCAAATCGCAGTGTGTCTTAACAGAGGTAAAGATAGGAATATAGAGGCAGAGCTGATTGCTTCCTTCAGTTCCCCACTGTTATGACTGGCATTTGCTCACTTCACTCCCTCCTATATGTGTGCATTGCCAGGTGCACTATGAAGCAGTAAAGAAGGTAGACAGGGTCCCCAACTACCCACAGATTAGAGCCCCCTCTGATTAGACTATAATGCAGTTCCATGTTTTCAAGTCCAGGTCACCCACTAGACTACATTCCTTGAGGGAAGGGCCAGTACCTTATTCATCTTTATATCCTGAAGCCTGCAGTGCCTGACCTACACAAGGTACCCATCAATCTTGGTTGACTGTGTTGAGGAATGTGAGATTCCTTCAAACTAGAATCTGGCTCATGGGTCATTTCATGTAGATTGGGACACTGAAGCTCACCCTTGAAAGACTTGCGTATGGACATTTCAGAAGGGAGGGAGAGGGCATTTCAGGCAGGGAAAATAGCAAAGCAAATACCTAGAGTCCGAAAAGTAAGGGGTATGAAGAGGGCACAGTGATGGATGGGTTTGTGTAAGGTACAGAGTGCTTGAAGGTAAAGAATGTTTGGAGAGGAAGGTTGGAAGCAGATCTTGAGGAACTATGACCCAGCAGCCTCAAGTACTTGGAAGCTTCTCCCAAGAAAACCATTCAAAACCCATCCATACACAGATTGATCTATAGATTAAACACCATTCCTATGAAAATATACAAATAGCTATACTGCAAGCTGAAAACAACAGAAACAGGCTTCTTTAAAGAAACTGACAAGCTAATTCTAACACATGGAAATTCAAAAGACTCAGACTAGCCAAAACAATCTTGAAAAAGAACAAAGTTAGAGTACTCATATTTTCCAACATCAAAACTAGCTACACAGCTACAGTAAATCAAAACTGTGTGGTACTTGCATAAGGAAAGATGCATAGATAGACAGAAGAGAACTCAGAGTTCACAAATAATCCTCATATTTATGATCAATTGATTTTCAACAAGAATGCCAAGACAGTTCAATGAAGGAAAGAATATTCTTTTCAACCCATGGAGCTTGAACAACTGAACATCCACATGCAACAGTATAAAGTTGGATGCCTACCTCACACCAAGTACAAAAATAACTCAAAATGGATCAAAAACAGTGTAGGTGCTAAAACTCTTAAAAAATATGTATAGATCTTGGTGATTTTGAATTAGGCAGTAGTTTTTTAGATATGACACCAAAAGCACAACTAGCAAAGGAAAAAATAGAGAAGTGGAACTCCATTACAATGAAAAACCTTTGTGTTTCAAAGGACACCATCAAGAAAATGAAGAGACCACCCATAGAATGAGAGAAAATTTCTGCAAATCATACATCTGATAAGGGACTTGTATATAAAATATATTAAAATATTTTTATAACTCATTAAGAAGATAATCCAATTACAAAATGAGCAATGCATCAGAATAGGCCTTTCTCCAGAAGAGATATACAAATGGCCAAGAAGCACATAAAAAAGATATTCAACATAACTAATCATCAGAAAACACAAAAACAAAATCATAAAAAAAAGACTACTTCACAACCACTTAAGACAGACAATAACAAGTGTTGGTGAAGATGTGGAGAAATTGGAACCTGCCTATACTGTTGCTGGGAGTGTAAAACAGTGCAGCTCCTTTGAAAAGTAGTTTAGGCCAGACTCAGTGGCTCAGCCTGTAATTCCAGCACTTTGGGAGGCTGAGGTGAGTGGATTGCCTGAGCCCACAGGTTCGAGACCAGCCCAGGCAAATTGACAAGACCTCAACTCTACAATAAATCAAAAATTAGCTAGGTGTGGTAGTGCACGCCTGTAGTTCTGGCTATTTGGAAGGCTGAGGTGGAAGGATTGCCAGAGCCCAGCAGGTCGATGCTGGGGTGGCCGTGACGTGAGTGTGCCACTGCATTCCAGTCTGGGCAATGGAGAGAGACTTTAACTCAAAAGAAAAAAGAAAAGAAAAGTAGTTTGGAGCCGGGCTCAGTGGCTCAGCCTGTAATCCCACGCCTTTGGGAGGCTGAGGTAAGTGGATTGCCTGAGCCCGCGGGTTCGAGACCCGCCTGGGCAGCGAGACCTCATCTCTACAATAAATCAAAAAATCAGCTGGGTGTGGTAGCGCATGCCTGTAATTCCGGCTACTCGGAAGGCTGAGGCAGAAGGATCGCCGGAGCCCAGCAGGTCGAGGCTGCGGTGGCCGGGAGCGGCCACTGCACTCCAGTCTGGACGACAGAGTGAGACTCCAACTCAAAAAAAAAATTAAAAAAAAAAAAAAAAAAGAAAAGTAGTTTGGTAATACCTCAATAACATCAAGTTACCAGATGACCCAGCAATCCCATGCCTAACTATATTCCCAAGAGAAATGAAAACATATATCCACACAAACATTTGTACATGAATGTTCATACCAGCATAATTCATAATAGCTTAAAAAGTGGAAACAACCCAAATATCCATCAGCTGACTGGATAACTAAAATGTGGTCTATCCATATAATGGAACAGTATTTAGCAATAAGAATAATGAAACACTGAGACATGCTACAACATAGACCGGCCTTGAAAACACTATGCCAAGTGAGACAAGTCAGACACTAAGGGCTACATATTATATGAGTGCATCTATGATGAAATGTCCAGAATAGGCAAATCTATATGGCAACTATATTAGTGGCTATCTAGGGCTAGTGGAGGGTTGAGAAGGTGAGGGTTGGGGAGAAATGGAGAGTGATTGCTAATGGGTACAGGGTTTCTTTTTGCAGTGATATAATGTTCTAAATTGCAGTAATGGTTGTACAACTCTGAAGATACTAAACGGTTGTAAAACTCTGAAGATACTAATTGTATACTTTAAATGGGTGAAATGTATGGTATGTGAATATCTTTAAAAAGCTATTACCAAAAAGCTTTATACATAAATATATAAAATATATCTGTAAAAGGTGCTTATATACATGCTCTTCCAGTGTGGCATTGTGGTTAAAAGCATGGCTGGAGTTAGACTTATGTGTGTGTTGTATTTATTTCCCCAATTCTAGAAGCATGACTTTGGCTAAAATCTTTTTTTTTTTTTTTGAGTTGGAGTCTCACTCTGTGGCCCAGACTGGAGTGCAGTGGCTGCTCCCAGCCACCGCAGCCTCGATCTGCCGGGCTCCGGCAATTCTTTCACCTCAGCCTTCCGAGTAGCCAGAATTACAGGCGCGCGCTACCACACCCGGGTGATTTTTGCCTTATTGTAGAGATGAGGTCTCGCCAAGTTGCCCAGGCGGGTCTCGAACTCGCGGGCTCAGGAAATCCACTCACCTCAGCCTCCCAAATGCGTGGGATTACAGGCTGAGCCACCGAGCCCGGCTTGGCTAAAATCTTTAACGCCTAAAGTAGTTACTGTTCCTCATTTTTCTCATATATGAAATGGATATAATAATATTTATCTCTAGACCAGGCATAGTGGCTCACACCTGTAATCCCAGCACTTTGGGAGGCAAAGGCAGAAGAATTACTTGAGCCCAGAAGTTGAAGACTAGCTTGGACAACATAGTGAAATCTCATCTGTACAAATAAAAAAAATTAGCCAGGCATGATGTCACAAGCCTGTAGTCCCACCTATTCAGGAGGCTGAGGTGGAAGGATAGCCTAAGCCCAGGAGGCTGAGGCTGCGGTGAGTCATGATTATACCACTGCACCCAAACTCTAAAAAAAAAAAAAAAAATCCATCTCTAAAGAGGGGTCTTCTGGAGATTAAATGAAATCAAGTATGTAAAACATTTATGACAAAGGCCAGCATACAGTAAACACATGTGGTGTGTTATGATTATTAGCTAATTCTTATAATAATAAACAACAAAAAGCAATCAAATGCCCAAATGTAAGGAGATCATCAAGAAAATAAAAATATGCTACACAATGGGATCTACTTGTTTCATTAAAATAAGATATGGCAGGTGCTATGGTTCACACCTGTAATGTCAGCACTCTGGAAGGCTGAGGCCAGAAAATCGCTTAAGGGCCAGGAATTTGGGACCAGCCTGGGCAACACAGCGAGACCTCGTCTCTACAAACATTTAAAAAAAATTAGTTAGGTGTGGTGGGACACAACGGTAGTCCCAGCTACTCAGGAGGCTGAGGCAGAAGGACAGCTTAAGCCCTGGAGTTCCAGGATACAGTGAGCTATGATCATGCCATTGTACTCCAGCCTGGGCAACAGAGTAAGACCTCGACTCAAATAAAATGAAATAAAAAAATAAAACAAGTTAAGTTATACATAAAAGCAAGGAAACTCAAATACTCAAGATTTTTCCAGCGCTATTTAATGACTGATATGCACATAAAAAACCTCAAAGCACTTCAGCATCCTGAAGATGCTTCTGATTCATCAGTGATTCACTTCTGCTTGACATTGTTCAGTGGTCAGAACATTCAGCCACATTTGAATCATGTGCACTCTAATTTGCAGTCTTTCTGGTTCTCTTTTCTTGTTTGCACAAAGTGCTAACAACGGACACATTATTGCACTTGTATTCCCTGGGCAACTTTTGATTTTTTTTCCCCCTTTTGCTTCTGGGTCTTGCGCCAAGCTTGGCTTCAGTACACCAGAGGAAGGACTAAATACAAACTATAGCTGGTTTTACTGTTCCATTCCTGTATGAACCAATTCAGCAGGGAGTACCATTCTAAGAGAAGGGACATTCTGCTCATTTACATACCACTACCCAGAATACTCTGCAAACTCCTTGGAGAACCTAGCCAGACATACAACAAAAGCTGTGGGATTTATTCATGGGTGCACAGTAAGGCATTCTAAAATGTTTCCAAAGAAGGATATACCTAAAAAATATCTAAAAGTATACTTGGAGGAAGAAAAGTCATTGTGATGAGTGGTAGGTACTAAAGGATGACTCACGTGTGTCCACTGTCTCTTGAATTGGGATGAAGCCCACAGGCAGCGTGTCCTTGATGTCAATGAGCTTCATATCCACTAACACATTCCCCAAATGACTCTTGGGAAGAAAGGAAAGAGATACAGACTATTAATCTGAGCATGCCCATGGTAAGTTTGCCATTTTGTCTTAAAGATGCATATTTAACACAATGACTCATGCAGATTTATGACAGCAGGTTAATTAGAGTAGGTGACACTTAATGTCCCCTAGTGGTTATACAGGGACTCGGGTGGCCGCCGGGAAGGAGTTTCATCTGCAGACCCTCAAAGCCATTCACTTGATGTGGCCTTGGTTAGACGGATGAGCAACTCAGGAGTCACTTTAGACATAACCCAGCAGAGGGCAGCTGTGCACACATGTCCTGGGATCAGGCTGCCACTTGGCCCTGAGCTTCAGATCTCAGGGCCAGCAGGTTTTATTTAATAAGAGCACATTCCTGGGGCACTGGTTGTGGAGGAAAGCTGCATCTAAACCTAACAGGGAACCAATCACACTCCTAAGTATACCAGCCTGCATACCAATACACATTCCAGTTGCTAGATACATTTTGCAAAATCCTGAGAATCATAAACTAATACAGAGTGAAAGCCCTGCTGCCTCGACATTACACATCTTTTAAAATGACACACACAAGGGCCTCCTAAAATTTCTATTTTGTGGTAGTATATGGGGTCTACAGTACACAGTTTCTGTGACTGGTGTAAAAATATCTTTTGAAGACAGTATACCATTCTGTAATTGCGAGAGAGAATTATTTGCAAACACATCAGCACTTGCAGCCCACACTTCAAGCTGGAAATGAGCTCTAAAGATATCACCCTACAACTTAAATATGTGGGGACACCTTGGAGATTTCATTAAAATCTTCAGAGTCATTTGAAGCTTAGTTCCCCCCATCTAGTCAGAACCAGTTAAGGAAAGAATTATGGATTCTGATCCTAAATCTCTCCTGTTAGGATAATAGCAATGCATGTTGCAAGCCCATTTTGCAGAAGCACCTTTTTACCCAATGCCTGACAGACATAAGCACGCTCCAGTTTACTTGTTCTGCCTCCCTGGATAAACATCTAGTAGGTCAGCCACCACTTTGCCCTGGGCAGCAATGTCTCAGGCCATTTTCCTGTCTTGTTTAGAGAAGGCAGGCTTCTACCACCATCTCTATGCATGAGGAGGCAAGATCCCCATTGCCACTACTCTGTGCCACCACCGCACTATGTTTGAGAGCCAAGTAGGGGGTTCTTACCATCTAAACTGTGCTATATTCCTTCTTGGCATTTTCTTTTTTCCATTCTATCAATACATAATTGTGTTTTTGTGAGGTTATTTGTTTAATATCTGTCTCCTCACTAGAGTTTAAGAACCACAGGGGCCAAAAATATCTCTGCTCCAACTGTAAATTTGTAAGCCTAGCATTGTTTCTGTCACACAACAGGTGCTCAATAATTATTTTCCAAATGAATTAATTTTTCTGGCACATTTTCAACTAGGTGGGCCACTCAGAGTAAGAAATTAAATTGAATTTGCTTGGATGGTAAACCTAAACTACATCGATACAAATATTGAAAGTATATTTAATAAATATATTATGAGTCAAAAGTACACAAATGAAATAAGTTATTAGAATTTAACTAGGAAGGTCAAGGTGCAAGTATAACCCTATGACCAGTGTTTTTATGGCACTGACATCCTAAAACTGTTTCCTTTTCTCAGAACAACCGTATTTGCCAGCAATTTAATATTCCAGCATTTCAGATAGCTGGGCCTCAGGAAGACCATGTGCAGTGCAGCACAGTGAGCGGAAAGCAGAACCCACCCCCAACACAGGATAAATCTCTGACCGCATAGGAAGGGTTTGAACTGTCAACCTAACTCACAAACATCAGATGCTTTCAGAGTCACCTGATCTAATCTATCATAATTTTTTTTCATGGCAGTTGCCTTTCCATGTCATCACTGCTTTCTGCATTGAGAAATTAACAACTGGGCATGTTTTCCTGCTCTGTGGATGGATGGGCATTCATCAATATCCTTCTTAAACATCTTCTACTTGACAAGTTGAGTTTTACAGAAGTCAACTGCAAACCACTTAGCAACCTCACCCTCCATACACGCTACAAATGTCCCTGATCGTAAAACCTAAACATCAGTAGTACAGCCATTTTAAAAAAGGCATCAAAAAACCCTTCCATGCATACAAAACAGGAGGCTGCACTGTCAGAGCTCCCCACAGCCTAAGTGTGGTCCCTCCTCACACAGGCTGCTGCTGTACTGGGTTTAATACAGTAGGTCTGCGACACCATTAATTTTGCCTGTTCCTCTCCCTTCCCCCATCCATGCTCTCTTTCATTTCCTCCTCATAAATATGAAGAACGTATTCCCAATCCTTGTTGAGCAAATGATTCATGCCAAAAGCCCAATGTGCACTGACTCAGGGTATTTATATTGTCTCTGGTAGCCAGTATTTGCTAGTATACTGTAATTATTTTTGACAACCTTGCATTTAAGGTAGCCACAGATAACCAACTTAATATTCAAATGTTCATAAATCCTTCTGTTTAATATCCTCCCTACCTAATCTATGTACATTATTATTACAGGTAATGCAGAAAGTACAGGGCATGAAAAGTACAATTAATCTCGATCCTTTCCCAAGAAGCAATGTCACTCCAAAGCCAGGTTTCTGTATTAATAGCATTATTGGGGGAAAGGAATTTAAGTTCCAAGGGAGTCTCCCAAAACTCCTACAGTGGGAGTCTCGACTCACCTAATTAAGAATCTGTCCGGTCTTGGGATCCCACATGCCTGCTTTACAGTTATAAAAAATTATGCTCTGCAAAGTCTTGTTCAAGCTGCAGGTCCAGGGCAGGCTGGCGGTAACAGATTAAAATATCTTGATTCCTACTCTACTCCCTGGACTGGCAAGCGGGCCCCTGCCACCCCCTGGGACTCAATTGTTTGGATTCCACTTCTGAAAACAATATGCACCATACTACTTTAAAAGCAAAGCAGAGCTTCTTCCATTGTCTGTGTCCTTTTCCTACATTGCTGCATCACACCCAGTAAGTAGCTGTTTAATGTTCAACACATGTTGACAAAACTAGTTCATTTTCTATAATACCACCCATGACACCCAAAACTAACAAGCCCCAGTGACTTCTCTTTGTCACATTCAGACTTGTCACTGTCCCCCACTCCAAAAGGTGCAGGGACTCTTCTGGCCTAGATTACCAACACCCCACAGGCTTCAGGGGAAAATGCAACAAAAACAAAATGAAAAATGATCACAGAAATCATGGCCGTCCTCTGAGGCCATTTTTAATCGTAGCCTCTTTGGTAAAAAAAGGTGATCTCTAAGTAGGGATCAGGAAACCACCAAGTGGAGAGAGGGTGTGAACAGTTTGTGCAAACCCTCGGGCACTCCTTCTGATAGTCCTAAGCTGTAGCAAGTATGCTGACCCTCTGCAGAAAGCAGTAGGCTGTGAATAGAACAGAGGTGACAAAAGCTAAAAAGAGAAATAGTCTCAAAAACAGTTACAGTAAGCTCCAGGGACAAAGGGGCTGGGAGAGTGCGGTGTATGGGTGCAGGTAGAAAGGATGGGCCCAACGTCGGGAAGGCAACATGGCCTTCAGACCTGCTCCGTGGTGTCTCCTCAAGCTGCCCAGTGGGCCAGTGGGCCTGCACAGACTCATTACAAGCTCACAGTGCAGTTGTCCAGTCTCTAGCCCAGCTGCCACCTTCATGAATGTTTAAAAAACATCCAAAAGCCTATACGGAAAAGATTTTCAGTGTTCAGTGACAGAACTTTCCCCAACTCCATTATAAACTCTGTATTTTGCAATTAGTATATATCACTTTTGTAATTAGGGGGGAAAAATTAAAGCAATGATCTCTCCCCTCATCCTGAATACATTCAGAATACTTCTCCTAACAAAGAATTATCAACAAACAGGAATAGTGGTGGAGAAGTGTGCAAGCCAGAGAGCCATGCCATTGTTTATATTCAGAGAACACTGAGGGGATATGAGGGCCCAGTGATGGGACCCTATGCCTATGGGGCCACATGATGGAGAGAAGGATTGCTACTTTTCCCCTTTTACGCTTTTGAGTGAGGGTGTTTGAAGTTGTATTTTTTAAACCACAAACATTTATTGCTGTTATAATAAAATTTATGAAAATAAATTAATAACAACACCTCCAAAAATAAATATTTACATTAAAAAGAAACAATAACATTTAGGCCAAAAAATAAAATGTCAGCCCTGAAAATGAAACTCTGAAGTGGAGACCTGGGATTGGGGGAGAGAGGTGACCTTGGACAAGCATATCAACTCTTGGATATAGGAAATAATACTTGGAGAGATTGAGGATAGAATGAGGTACATCTGCAGAGTGCCTAGGACAGGCCTCACACACAGCAGATACTCACTAAAGCTATTTCCCTTTTTTCTAAGTTCTCCATTAGAAAACCTCATTAGAAAAGCCTTTAGTAAATGTCTTTAAAGTTTCCTAATTTATGAGCATAAACATTAAAAAACGGCATTCTGAGAGAAATCTGCATAAGTGGATACTTACCTACAAAAATAATGAAATGTGATATGTCACAAAGAGACTCACAGAGAAAGAAAAAGTCACTTTGGAAACAGGGCCATTTCTGTGGGTATGGGGATCATGTGGGTGCTCCTCTGAGCCATGCTGCCTTTTGTTGGCCAGCATTAAATCCAGCTCCACTGGAAAGCTCTCACATCTGCACTACCCCATGATTTGTTGCTTGGAGGAAAGGTAGGCAAATGAGAACTGTGAGAGAAATTTCCTGGTTTCCTTTTGAGAACACATTTTAATGGAATTCACTGTACACTTGGGTACGTGGTTAATAATACTGTTAATAAATGAAACACAGTGCTAGCTGCTGATTCTACCCAGTTCACTAAAACCACAGATAAATTAATATGGCAATGAAAATAAACCACAACAAAAAAAAAAATGAGGAAATTCCAAACAGGAATGTAAATTACTCGTGCTCACTCAGCAAACGGAAACCACTACTAGACTTACATTTTCTTTGGAAAATGATCTTGTAAAACACAGGTATCTGGTAACCTTGGATTTAAATAAGCCGTCTTTCCAGAGGTCAGCATCCACACCATCTGCCGTCTGTGCCACCTACACCGAAGAGACAGAGAAAAGAATCGCAGGTAAGGCAGGATGGAGCTATGGCACACGGGAACTGCTTCCTCCATGCCCGTTCCAATTAACACTGGCCCAGACTCTCATGGCATCTCATTAGTTCATCTCACTAGGAACAGGGATGAGAATTTTCAAAAGGGGAAAAGGGAATGTGTGAAAAATACAACTTCTAAAAATACTGTCCCTGGGGAAGCCTTTGATTAAAGACACCCTGACAAAAACAGTTCTAATGAGAAAAGAGCAACTTTTGTTGTAATGGACCAAGAAGGGATTGAATAAGTCAGCACATTAAGCTGTTCATTACCACTTACTGGGGAGATGGTGCAGGGGGAAGAAAAAAGTACAATGGGGTATGAAATGCCACCTGAGAGGGGCACCGCCTGTGGTAAGGGTGACATAGCCTCCTGTTCTAGGTCCTGGAGCCACCCAGGTGCTTTGGTCAATGGGATTCTATTAGAGAAGGAGGCAGGAGGTCAGGAAATTTTAGGTCATACTGCTGCTTCTTGGTACAAGCCCTGAAAGTGGTATTTAAGGTCAGAAACTGGATCATGATAGAAAAATAAAAGAAGACTCAATTCCTTGTTTGTAGTCTCACTAAGAAGCCATTTTCTCATCCAACACTGTAGAAATTCTCCTCTAGGAAACACCTGAAGATGAAGCCAGTCTTGATCTGAGTTGCAAAGGACCTGTGCACTAGACTGGGGTTGGGCTAGAAGGACATAAGTATGAAGGGCCAGGCTTTGTAGGAGCCAGTTCTCAAAGTGATTGGAAAGGAGGAAAAAAGTCTAGAAGAGGGTGGTGCTTTCTTCCTATTTCTTTCCAGACTACTCACTTTCTGTACTCACTCAGCATGAGAGTGTTAATCAACCTTTCATGCCGTGCTTCACCAGCACCACAAAGAGAGGGCATCCAGGAAGACTGAGGGAAGAGCACCATATTTGGGGATAAACTCTGCAGGGAGTCTTCGAGCAGCTTGCTTTCTGACTTCTGGGTTGTCCTTTTGAGCTACAGTCTTTAGGTCACAGTCCTTGATCTGACAAGTTCCCAACTATTCTGACAAACTGCTGGAAATACCTCCATTCTTCACACAAAAACTGCTTTGATTCAGTCCCATCCAGGGCATTTACCACCATACAGCACATGGTCAGCCTCTGACTGTCACGCGCCAGGGCGGGGGCAGGGCTGGGACCCCAGCCAAGTGGGTGCAGGCTCCCCAACACATTCCCAGAACCCACTACAACCATGTCCTCTGAGACTGCCTCAGAAAAGCCAAGAGGCCAGGAGACAAAAAAAAAAGCTTGTGTTTCAAACTGAACAATTATAAAATAAGAAATACAACAACAGGAAAAGAAAGGCCCTTATGCTGAATATGCAAATCTATTTGACCTGAAAGCTGAAGGAAGAACAGTTTGGGGATAATTTTAGGAACTGTTTGTTCCAAATATGTCACCCCCCACAGACAGAAACATGATGGAACAGGGATCAGCCTTATCAGCATTTTCCCTATAACAGTTGCACATAAAAGTTCTACAGAAACATGGGATTTAAGGTAGTGGACTCAGCTTCTCCACCATCAAGGACCCCTTGTTCTTGTTTTCTCCACGGATTTCATGTTTTAAAAGATTTTTGTCTCCCAAACTGCACTGTTTACTGTATTTCATCAATTCTAGGATACAGTTATTTGGGGAATCACTCATAAATTTAAGGAACACCCCTTCACACAAAAATAGAAATGGTAGCATATCAAAACATACATGTCTATTTTTAAAATGAATCCCAATTTTAGAACCATTAAAATGTAAAAATAAAAATGCTCTAAGAACAAGGGAATAAAGGAAATTGCAAGGTCTATCTATAATAAATGAGTAATTTTTGATAAACTTTTAAAAATAGAGTCTGTCTATAGAACACTCCAAGGCTGCTTTGGTAGACAGAGAGCTGTGTCTAACCTTCCACTGGAAAAGGAGGGTAGTCTAGGAGGGCTTGCCTGGATATATGGAAATTCCACTGGAGAGTGCTGCGCATACTAACCCACGGTTACTGTTTCCAGAATTTGCAAATGTTGATTCTCTCCATCTACCCCACTGCTAGAATTTTCCTTTTTTCTGAGTGAGAAGACATCTTGATATGAAAATGTAATGGGAAAAAGCCTGCAGTGTGAGTTGGCCCCTCAGTGTGAGCAGTTAAAGCCCTCTCACCCTTGTGTGAGAAGCATTAAAAAGGGAAAACCAGAGGCCCAGCTTTGCACTGAGGCCAAAACTCATTTGCAATGAAAGTATACAACAGCAGCATGAGGGAACCTGTCCTCCCACAGCAGCCCAGGGGAGGTGAGGGGAGAAGAGAGAAAGAAGAGAGAACCTCCTCCAATCCCCAGGGAAGGTGGTGCTGGGCAGAAAGCAGAGGCTCTGGAACTGGGTCTCAGGTTGGATAATGCAGGGACCAACAGCACCAGAAACTGGATCAAGAAGTGGAATGTGGGACCCTGGCTCCTCAGGAACACTGGGGAAGCAGCCTGCCCTGTCCCTAGAAACGTCTTCCCAGCCTAGTCATGTACCCAGAAGCTTCTTCCCAGCCCAGTCACATAAAGGTGCTCAATAACCTAAATTCTACTCATACCAAGTTAGTTGAGCTAATGATCTACATGATAAATAATCTGTGAAGCAGGTGGGGCCGCAGTCACAGTGCAAAGAGGAGCACCCAAGACTGACTCGAGGCAGAGTCTGACCTGCGTCCACATCCTCCTGGGGCACCCTTCAGAAGATCACAAACTCAGCAGCCAGCCTCAGTTCCCAGGACTAGGAAGGCTAGGGCAGGTGGAGTGTAGGGTGGATGACCAAATGTTATACCTGCAGCACAGGCAGCATGGAATTCAGAGGCAGACCTGAACTTGAGACCCAATGGCTTAAACAAATCCTGTGCTCCTCTGCGGAATGGACACGTTGCCCTTCCCTGCGGGGGTCACTGTCAGGGTCAGAAGAGACTCTGCACATGCAAAGTGCCCTCCTCAGCGTGAGCACTCACAAGGACATGCTAACATTTCTAAACTAAAAATGAGGACATTGAACCAAGTCTTTAAAGTGATGTCAGGCTACATCAGATTGCAAAAGATCTCAACTGTCCCACGGAGCTCAGCACCAAGCTCTGCAACTATAACTGGCCTTACAAACACAAATGGCACCCTTGTGTGACTGATGTTCACCTTCCCTCTGCTATCCTGCCCTGGACTTTAAGCTTCACAAGGACAAGGGCAGTGCCCGTTCTGGTTGTCATGTCATCATTGTGCCAAGCACAGGATATGGGTTCAATCAAACCTTGTTGAAGGAATGAATGAACAATTCAACTATTCAGTCAGAGCAGTGTGAAAAGCCACATTCCCTGCCAGTTACCCAAGTAGGTCATAAGTATTTTAATAATGAAGTTTCCAGGATTTAATCCATTGAGCTAAGTGTATCCCCTTCAAAATCACCGCTCTGTAAGGTGCATGCCATTTCAACCCTGGGGACACTTATTCTTTTGGTTACTGTGTGAGTCCCCTACCTTGTTCCCAAGATGAGTTGATGTGTCCAATGCTGCTGCCGACTGCAGAAACTCCAGAGACTGCTATGGGTCCTCATATATACACGTGGACATATGTACACACACTCACACCCTTAGACATACACTTTTATACCTCTTCCCGGGTGCAGGAGCTGTCTCATAGGTGGAAGCGGAGGTGGGCCCTATAACCAGTCAGGGCAGATAGTAAACATGAGTGCATTGCTCTTGCCTGCCAACATTCTTCTAAAATAACAATCAAGTGGAGAAAGTAGGAACCCTTAAAATGAAGAGCAAGAGAGTACAACACACCAAGAGCTGTCAACAAATGCCTGGAGGTATAGAAAGAAGAAGGTCTGAGCGATCTAAGGGCCTGTGGGGGCTGATGCTGAGTGAGGCTGATTCACTGCTCAGAGCCCCAGGGCCCAGAATCACCAGACACCACCGCAAAGTGGGAGGGGACAATGGGGGTGAGTACGCATTCAGGGCTAAATTGGGCAGAATGAAACAAGGTCCACAAACAAAGGGGTTAGACTCACAGATCCCCACCCCCACTTCAAGTATATTTTCTACAGAAAGGACGCCAGTAAGCCTTAGGATTCCAGAACTTTAGCTGGCAGGGAAGGAGGTGCAACTCCAGAGTGAAAACAGTGTAAGGATGTATACTGAATGGTAGGCCTCCCCTGCTACCCTGATCATCCTCCTTCCTACTTCCAGACTTCTCTCCTGAATGCTAGATACTGAAGGCTTTGTCTTGGGAGACTGCCAGGGGTGGGTCAGCCCACAACCCAGGGTCTTTTATTACAAAGGCCAGCTCCCTGCTCATCACCCCACTGTGCAGCCCACCAGCCAGCATGCTCATCCACACACAGAGCTCCTGCCCATGAGCCAGTGCCTTGATCTCAAACACCAGCCAACAAGAAAGAATCACCAAACACCGGGGAAAGACTGAAACATGAAAGGAGGTTCTGAAATAGAAAAAAAAGGCAACTTCAAGGGAGCACAGAGAACAGGAGGAAACAGTGAAAGCTCAGGAACAGATAACCAAGTCTGTAATTAAAATCTGCAAAGAGGCGAGTAAATATATTGCAAACACCAAGTAATAACAGAATATTATAAAAACTAAAAAAATTTTCAAAAATTAAATAAACAAATTTGAGGACAATATAAAGAGATTAGAAATAGAAAAGTTATAGCTAAAGTTAAACAATTTTTTTAAATACCAGAAAAGAAAACAGAGGAAATCTTCCAGAAGGTAAAATCCAAAGATGAAAAGATAAATTATAGGAAAGAAAAACTAAGAAAACTGAAGGATCAATACAACACCCAACTAACAAAAGTCCCAATAAGAACTTTAAGGAAAAAAAAAATGGAGCAGGGAGGAGTCTCTGCATCAAAGAGGTCCTGAGGGTTCCAGCAAAGCAAGTGAGAAAGACCACCCC